CGCACACACACACACACACACACACACACACACACGCACGCACACATGCAAAAATAGAATAAATATAACTGTAATGTATGGCATGGTTAAAAAACTTGTTTACAATGCTATTTTAAACTTATGAATTATTTATATCTGGAATGTTCCATGAACATTTTTGGACTGAGGCTGACCATGGGAAGTGAAACTGGATTAGGAGGGACACCTCCTGTCAACAGACCCCAGGGTTTGTGCCTGTCCCTCCCGTCTCTGTCCCTCTTGGTAGGGCGCTCTCGTCTTCATTACGGCAGAGTGAAGATAGCAATTTGGCCTATTTGCTGGCTTGCTTGTTTGTGACAAGGTTTCAAGTAGACCAAACTGGCCTCAAACTCCATCCTCCTGCCTCACACTGCAGAATGCTGGCCCAAACAAACAAAGGAAGGTTGGTGAGCCCAGCGGGTAGGGGTGCTTGTTCCCAAGCCCGATGACCTGAGTTTGGTCTCCAAACCCCACCCAGGGAAACAAGAGCATCCTCACACAAGCTGCCTTCTATAAGTCTGGACAGGGGGCTGGAAAGATGGCTCAGTGGTTAAGAACACTGGCTGCTCTTCCAAAGGACCTGGGTTCAATTCCCAGCCCCCACATGGCAGTTCCAGGGGATCTGACCCCTTCACACCAATGTGCATAAAATAAGTTTAAAAAAAAAGTCCAGATAAGCACGGCGGTTCACACCTGTGTTGTGAGTAGTACACAGGTGGAAGGCAGGAGGATTGCTGCAAGATTGAAGCCAGCCAAGGCTGTGATGTCATGAGACCCCCATCTCAGGAAGAAAACAAACAAAACCCAAAACAGTGGTGCATGCTGGGAGTCAAGCATTTGAGAGGCAGAAGCAGGTGGTTTACTGCAAATCCGAGGTTAGCCTAGGGTTGTAAGTGTAGCTCTTGGAGTTCCAGGCTAGCCAAAGCTACTGATTAAGACTCTGTCTCAAAAGTATATCCCACACTCCCCCCCCCCCCGCCACTAGTAAAAGTTAGATGTGCAACTGGGAAATTCAAAGGCAAATTATCTCCAGGCACAGTTGGATCCAGGAGCAAATCCGCTTCCATCACTGAGACAATACCACTGATGGGGGGGTCTGTGGGGGGCTCAAATGCTTGCTTGGCCAAAGGAAGGTGGCTGCTGCTTCCTCTGGGCACAAGAGCAGGGTTTCTGGGCAGGTAAGTTACTTGCTACAGGAAGCCTTTGGATTTGTGCCCAGCAGGCTTACCACTCTTGAGCGAAGAGCTACCTCTGGGACTCCTTGACCCTGGAAGCTGACTTCACAGGCATGAGACCCACCCAGTCCTTTGTCAACAAACCAAGTTGATCTTAAATTTTAAGTATGCCTCATAGGCATGTAATCTGGGAGCTCCACACTCCAGCCTGCACTCTGCTGGCTTCCTTCCTGAGCCGGCCCTGCCCACAAAGACCAGCCAGGAGAGAGCCAAGCCCACTTGGTGGCAGTCCAGAAGAGCAGGTGCAAAGAGGGGGGGAAAAAAGAAAAGACCGTCCATGGGCGAAAGAGCAGGAGCGGAATTTTACAAAGTCAATAGTGAAGTCAATGCTAACACCCTAGACCTCCTCCGTCTTTTACATGGGTTGGGAAGGTAAAAGCTATGCCATGACCATCTTAGTTTGGTTTCTGGAATCATGATAGAAGGAGAGGAAGATCTCCCTAAATCTGTACTCTGAACTTCCAAGCATGCCCTCCACACCATGAGAAGAAGGGGAGAAGGAGTAAGAGAAGGGGAGAGGGGTACTCGGAGAGGAGGTATGATCCAGGGCCCGTAAAATGGCTCAGCAGGTAAAGGTGCTTGCCACCAAGCCTGACAGCCTGTGTTCAATCCCTGGCGATCTGAGATCCTGAAGGAGAGAACTGACTCCTGAGACTTGCTCACATGCTGTGGCATATAAACCCATTTAAAAAAATAAACACATGCCGGGCGGTGGTGGCGCACACCTTTAATCCCAGCACTCGGGAGGCAGAGGCAGGTGGATCTCTGTGAGTTTGAGGCCAGCCTGGTCTATAAGAACTAGTTCCAGGATAGGCTCCAAAGCCACAGAGAAACCCTGTCTTGAAAAAACAACAACAACAAAACCAATAAAAATATAAACACACACACATACTCCATTTGTTGTTCTTTCTTGTAGAGGGCTAGGGATTGCTTCCCAGCACCTACACGCAAGTTCACAACTATCCATAACTCCAGTTCCAGGGGATCTGGTGCTCTCTCCTGGCCTCCACAGGCACCAGGAACACACACATACATGTAAGCAAAATACTCCTATTCACAAAATTAAATAAATCTCAAAAACAGAAGAAAAAAAAATCACCAAGGCTCTGTGCATGGTGGCCCATGCTTTTAATCCCAGCACTCAAAGGCAGAGGCCGGCGGATCTCCATGAGTTCAAAGCCAGTCTGAAACTGGGTGGTGGTGTCACATGCCTTTTATCCCAGTACTCGGGAGGCAGAGGCAGGAGGATCTCTGTGAGTCTGAAGCCAGCCTGGTCTACAAATTGAGTTTCAGGACAGCCAGGGCTACACAGAGAAACCCTGTCTGGAAAAACTATCCCAGTACTCGGGAGGCAGAGGCAGGAGGATCTCTGTGAGTCTGAAGCCAGCCTGGTCTACAAATTGAGTTTCAGGACAGCCAGGGCTACACAGAGAAACCCTGTCTGGAAAAACAAAACAAAAACCAAAAAAGCCAGTCTTGTCTACAAATGGAGTTCCAGGCCATCCAGGGCTACATAGTGAGGCTGTCTAGGGGAGGAAAGGTGACTGAAATCTAGACTGCACTTATTCTGTGCCTGTTATTCATACAGCCGACCTCATGTTACACCTGTTCCAAGCCAGAGATGGCATCAGGAGGTCATTTGCACCCTTACTAAAAGCACCAACAGTCCAGGGTTCATGCCTCATTCTGCTACTTTCTGGCTGGTGGTTTGGAAAGGTCCCATGCCTCAGTTTACCTTTCACCCATGGGGACCATTATAGTAGTGTGGCCTTATTAGGATTCTGGTTTTGCTCTTTTTTTGAGACAGAGCTTCTCTGTGTAGCCCTGGCTGATTGGAACTCACTCTGTAGACCAGGCTGGCCTGGATCTCGGAGATCTGCCTTCCTCCACCTCCGGAGTTCTGGGACTAAAGGCCTGCACCACAGCCACCATTCTGGACCTGCCTTTTTCGTAACTCCGCCTCTGGGACCAAGTCATTTCCCCTCCCCGTGACTTGGTTTCCCTATCTCCCCCAAGTTTTGACGGGGGCATTATTTGCAGCAGGCTTAGTTGAGTGCCTGGTAGACAGAAAAAGTTAACAGGCTTTACAGTTTCGTTAAAGGGGTACGAGGCAGCCCAGATTGGAGAGTCCTGGCTCA